TACATGATTTTATTGTTTCTCGATTCTAATAAAAGTTTTAAAATAGATGAAACTGATATATGTCATGTTTCCTAAAGCGTACTTTTATGGACTTAATGCATAAGAATATATAGAACTCTCATTAAATGTATTTGTAAAAGTGAACTAGTCTAGCGCAAATGAAATTGAGAAACCAATAAATATAATAAAATAAACGAGAGAAATTATTTTATTTCCAGTTTAATCCCCTGAGAAATATAACATGACAGCTCAGTAGAATATAACAGATAATTTCACAGGAAACGAAAATTTAATGTTTGATATTTTAGAAAATCTTCAGCTAAAATTCTTGAAATTGAAATAGTATAATTTTTACAGCAAAATATCCATTTAGTGTGTATTTTCATGCATGAATTACGAGGAGTGGGTATTGAAAAATTGTCGATTCGACGCTCTCCACAAAATATTCTCAAACATTAGAATTTTTAATCATTCTTGGTCGGACCGAGAACTTTTCAACACTCTTTCGGACGTTCAAATCACATACAAACAGATCTTTCGAAACGCTTTCTCATAAGTTAATTCGAATGGTAATGTTCATGGTCATAAAAAAAATATATTCACATCTATATTCTGAATTCCAAAAGATAATTATATTTTTGAAAGTGTGTGTATGTGTGTGTGTATGTGTATGCGCGCGCGTGTGTGTGTGTGAGTCCTTCTGGAAATATAACAGACGATAATAGTCAATGTACAATCAGTTTATAATTTGTTGGATCAATTACTGTTTGTAATAATGTATCCACAGATGCAAGATTGCGATTTATAACATTAAATGCAGGGTAGACATTTTTCTCTGCTGCATAGTTATTTCCATACAAAGATGTTATAGCTTAATTCACCTTCCTAGTCTAAACTTCTTTTAATCTACATTGGTTACATCTGGTCCAGAGAAGATCGACATTGAGATTGCCACTGTGGTGCTTGGTCAGGCAAGTTATATTTTAAACACTTTCAGATAGATATAAGGGAAAAGACCTCGTGCGCAAGTGATATGATACTGGTCATGGCTAACTTTCAATTACTTCAATAGCCCTTACGCATGCTAAATTTAAAACCCAATTAAAAATATACGGAACGCGTTGCAAACCTCACTAAATTCTCTAAAGCGTAACCAAACACAACACACTTATGAACAGCCCTCGAATATGACTGCATAGCTGTCGATATGCAGCGAGACTAGTACATTGTAGACTCCATGCCACGTTATGTAGCCGTCGTTATTCATGCAAATGACGGGGTTATATGTTATTAGATAGCTGTCTCCGGGTTTTTTGGCACTTCAATTTATAATCTTGTTGATTTATAAAAATCCCAGTGTGAGTGCAGTAAAAATCAAATTTTCGTTTTTAGTTTCTCTTTATCTGAAATCATAGTAAATTGTAATGATAAGATGATTCTTAAAATTCATAGAACCAATCAAAATATTCCAACTGAATTTATTTATAGAAATAAATTTCGAATCGATATTTTTACTCTAAATTATCAGTAGAAACTGTCACAATTAAACAGGCAAAAGAAAAAGTGTAAACCATGTTTTCTCCAAACAGAAGGATAAAGAAAGTGAAATAAATGTAATAAGTTTTCTTTTGCTCTTGTCAAATACAGACTATTCCAGTTATGAATTGCTTTGTTGATCTTCTTGCTAGAAAAGTTTCCTCGGTTATGTTCAAAACAAAATAGAGGAGAGGCCAGTAAGCAAAGCTGACACTGAAATATGTATTCTGATATGACAAACTTTGTAAAACTGGGCTTAGTACTTCCATATAAATGGACTTAACTGATGTTTTCTTTTGCTTGTTTCATCACTAACAAAACCTACATTATTTCCACATATTACTTTTCCTTTGTAAACTTATACAAGAATAAATTCGAGTCATAATATTGTATTGGATTTTTATTATTAATCCTGCCCACCATAATATAAGCACGCACATTTATTTTCATGCATTTAATTGTCATTGACGACAGTCTAAGTTTTTCTTGAAAGCTTATTTTTAAATATTCCTATCTGGAAATGAATGGCATTTAGGAAATTACAATTTGTAATATAGTAACAACTCTTAGTAGAAGCTTATGAAGCTTCATTTTACTAATTCAGCTTTAGCGCTGAAAAAAGCTTATTTTATTGTGATGGATAGTTACAAGGGAAAGAGGAGATGGAATGCGCTTATTTTATGACCACATTCTCTCTCAGTAGTAATTTTATTCATATGGAAGAAAATCCTTCAAATGACCGGGTATCTTGCTGGTCCTTTGGGAACGTCAGGATGGCTCGACCTTATCCGGTCTTTTTTTGTGTTTCTTCCTAGGGTTCTGAGTTTGGGTGCTGTCGCCTACTTTGACGCCCAAACTGTTCACCCTCTGAATTAGAAGAGTTGGTAGTAGGTTGAGTCTGTTTCAAAGGTACCGACCGTTCGTCAGAACTTTAGTCGTACCCTGAGGACCCTAGACTTGAAAGCTCTAGGTAATCCTCGTGAGAGGACTAGGGAGTGCAACAGAATCATCACTATCGGCAGGTACTTTTTGTTCAGCTATAGGACCTGCTTCCTTTCTCACTGTGACAAGATATCTTAGAGTGATAGTATATTGTCTCCCGTCTGGATAGCGTACTCGTGTGTACTGGGAGTTTGCCTCTATTTGCGATATATACATCAATAAAATTTTTGTGCTACCTGTATCAACCAGTACGTCTAGAGGAAGACCATCGTCCTTGATTTTTATAGTAGTTTTAGATAAGCATCTAAATGAAGCCGGCGAGAATGCGCAAGGAAATGAGCTGCTCGTCTTTCTTCTTTTTTTCTTTTTTTTTTTTTTTACAGTGACCCATTTTTCCACGGGAAAATAAAAGTTATCTTCTTTTACTGGGCATGACAAATAAGGGTGCATTTGACCCCCGCATAAAAAGACAAGCCCGCCTCGTCGAGGCCAAAGTTTCTGGTAAATCAAAATAATCCCGGGGTTGAGAAGGCGATCGTTCGATCATTGAACTCACAATGCCTTGTGGAATGAAAGAATCTGCATTCCGTTGAGCTTGGTCTAAAATTCTTACTTGGTCGTAGAATTGCTGGAGGGTAAGGTTTTCATTTTGTAATAGACGCTGTCGAATGTTTACTGACAATAATCCTTTAACGAATGCATCCCTTACTAGCTCTGCATGTCATTGTGCAGTTGTAATAGTCGTGAAAGTGCAATCATTGCTAAATTTGTTTAGTTCCCGAAGAAATTCGTCGATTGTTTCTGTGCGCTGTTACGTCTGGTAGCGAGTACATAACGAGCAAACATTTCATTTTTTCATTCTCATATGCAGTTTGTCCAGAATTCCTTAGGTTTCCTTATGTGTGGTTTCATCTGAGAAATACTCATAGAAGCTAAGCTCATACATTAAGTGACGCAACATTTTCCTCCAAAAAGATTTTTCGCGAATGACGGTAGATAGACCGGGAATCTCACTGGTAGCAAAATCAATGAGATCAAGGGCAACCGGTTGCAATAGGTGGCTGCTGTGTTGCTGCTCCGTTCTTACCCGAAGACTGCCACCTGTTCATAATCGGTCAAGATTTTTAATTCTGGCAATGTAAAATAGTGGTTACTCTTTCATTGTAAGACTCGCTTAACATACGTCGGTGGTCGACAAAGCTGCTCTAGTTGCTTAGTCTTGTTGGAAACCTAGGGGTGAATTTGTGTCCATTCCTTTTTTTTTGGCATAAGTCTGGAGGGTCCATTTATTGAACCGAGAATGATTTGACTTCATTTCCTATGGCAAGATGAAACCCTTTCCCCTCCCCCGGGTAACTGAGCGGACGAACGCGCGTGACTCCCCCGCCCCGGAACACACTCGGTAATTGTCGCGGCGCACCTACAGAGGTCATCACAGCTGCATGTAGGGGTTCATAGTTGTGTTAAGCGCAATAGTTTGTGAATTGGGAGTACTGGGAGTAGCTGTTGTCGGTTTTACTGCGGATGTTACAATTTTGGGAAAAACCCAGTAAAGGAATGGAGCTTGCAACGCAGCATTTGGCATTCTGTAAAGTTTGAAGTGTTGTACTGTAGAAGATACTGGTAGACAGAGCTACAATGAAGCACCCACAGAAATCGCTCTTCATAATAGACGCTGGCTCAATAAGTAAGCGAAATACTCAGAACTTATTGCCGACTAGCCAGTACTCAGGTTTCAGCCTATTAAATCGACGTTTGAAGTAGCTGCAGAGAGTAGGGGGGGGGCATTGTGCATCTCAACTGAAAGTGCCAACCGTTGTGTCAACATCTACGCGTCGCTGACCTCATCGAATACCGCTCTGAATACCCTGAATTGCGTAGCCCCGCTCAACTATACCCCTCCAACCCTGTGAGCGCATGCGATTGTATGATTCGGTGTTGAGTCTAAAGCAGCGGGTAGTGCACACAGTAGCACAAGTACGTTTTGCCTTAGCGCATCACAGTATGAATCTGAGGTACCACCAGCAACCAATTGTAGGTGCCAGGAATTTTGGAGTTGGAAATAAGTCAACCCCTAACTATGTCTTGAACCATCTTTTTTTTAAATGGATTGACCACCGTTTAACCTGACTTCAGTAAACACAAAAGCACACAACTGTACGCGCAACACAGGCTGAGTGAAAGATGGCGATGGCACTAGCGCAAACAGGTCAACAGGTAGGTGTGTGAGAAGCAAGGCGGAGATGGAATTAACTGTCTGGCCCTAGAATGATTCCACGATGCCAACTCCCTGCAGCAGACAAATTGTACAGGTATAGATTAATTCAATAGGCGAAACCTGGCTACGGCCAGTGCAGAGATTCCAAACTAATCCCACAAAGGTGAAGAGTAATATCTGTGATGCGTTTCATGTAGCACAGCCCGTGATCAACGTGACGGAACTGAACACTGAAACCTAGGGAAAACGCATGTCATTGCAAGCTCCCTGTAGTGCTCAGCTATTGTTAGGAATGGATGCAGCATCAGCGATGCATTTGCCTGGGGCGCTTAACACAATTATTGATGCCTCCACAGCGTAGATGGTAGTGGTGTAATGGAGATGACAGGCGGGAGGGTTTGACAGAAAACGCAAGCAGCCATGCGAATACGCCGAAGGCAGGTGGAAGGAAATATTTATCTGGTGCGGTGCAGTAACAATGGGAGACAAATTTCACGGACGTCTGTTAGGCAGGTAGGCTGTGAAGGTGTGGTAGGAGGGAAAACTGCTCTTGGGAATAGGAGCTTTGCCTGGCGGTTTGTACTGTCGCCGATGGTTTATACAATCCTGAAGACCGTATAGAGGTAAACTGTCAGCCGCCGCCTATGTCCCATCAACCTACAGAATCTCCTTGTAAACGACATTTTTTGCAGAAAGAGAGTGGGAGTGAAGACGAATATGTCCTCGCTTCTACCTACATGTGAACAGCCTACGTAAAGCTGGCCGTGGGAAAAACACTGCTCTCCAAGGTGAATTCCCGCGACACGTAGTGTTTGACCCTGTGATTTATTAATAGACATTGCAAAGCAAAGTCTAACGGGAAACTGCGACCTGCGGAATGTAAAGGACACATCTGAACCCGACGGAGATAGATGCATGCGCGGTATGGATACAGTTTCACCCCTTCCGCAACCGGTAAGAATTGTCGCTTCAATTAAATTTGGTGCCAAAGATTTAACCACCATACGGGTACCATTGCCCTGTTTCGTGGGAACCAGGTTACGCAAAAGTATAATGGGCGCGCCCACTTTCAGTCTCGGTGTGTGAGAAAAAAAACCGCCGGTTCTAAGGAATTCAGAAATTCGACCGGGTAGTCCGTAAGGTTGTCCGGGTCGGGCGTCCTGTCGATGGATTTGTAGATGTAATCGTCCCCGTTGCTCATTAATGGTAGTAAATGTGGTGTTTTTTGGAGCAAGAACAGCTCTTTCAGAGTGCCACTCAAGGTCGCAGTAGTTGGCATTAAAATTCGGAAAACGGCATCTCTGAGCTGTTGATGGGTGTCAACAACTGAACACAGTGTTCCCACGTTAATGTAGCCTTCTGCGTCTGAAGGCGTTCGGCCCTCCCCGAGGTCTAGTAGGCCCCTTGAAAAATCAGCGGACCCGTTGTCCCCAGTAGTATGAACGCGCATATTGGTGGTCAGGTGCAATGACTGTACATGGGCTCAGAGGTTGGACGACTTAAGGCACACACGAATAGCATTGGCTCTTGGCCCTTTAGGCAGGGTTTGTCGAAAGTCACCTGACAGGACAGTCAAGCCACCCATGAGAGCAGTGGAGTCCCTAATATCTTGAAGGGACCTATTCAATGCCTCGACTGCTTGTTTGTGAGCAATACTGCACTCGTCCCACACTATGAGTTTACAACGTCTTAATACGTCAGCCTGACCCGATCTTTTGAAATGCTGCAAGTTGGAACATAGAGTGCGACGTCCGTCCGTCCCCCCCGGCAGCAATGTGGCCGCAATCCTGGATGAGGCAACAGCAAGCGCGATGTCTCTGTGCCGCCTGATTTCAGCTAGAATTAGTTTTGTAATGAACGTCTTACCAGTGCTAGGAAGAAGATGCTACAGCGTTGTTATCGGACGGCGTCAATCACCGTGGTGTAAGCTGTTCTTTGTTCTGGTTGGAGGCGTAATTTATTCTCTCTGACATAGCGGTCGTGGTCAGCAGTATAATAAGACGTATATTTATTTCTGGTGATAGGTCGGTGGTGCCATCTCGCACTGGCGGAGGTAATCTGTATGTAGTTAGCGCAGCTCCACCCATTTCAAGAGCAATGTCTTCAATCTGAATGAGCGCCCTATTGTAAATAAGGTCCGTGTAACCCAACTCGGGTGACGGACATTGCTGCTGTGCCGCGTACAAAATGTCTTCTGGCATGAAGTCTTTGTACTTAGCCCATAAAGCACGGGGGTCACTTATTTCGCGTCTTACTATTAAGACCGCGAATAAGGATCGAAGGGTCGCAGGTGCCTGTAAGAGAACTCCCTCTGCCATGGCAGCATCCCATTGAGAATCATCCTCCAAAAGGCCACGTTTAAGGCAAGCCTCCTGGTAGATGTTGCACACGACGCCGTCAACAGTGCGAATGGCCTCGAAGCTTGACGGACCAACAATCTCATGAAGCAGAAGCTGGAGGAAGAAGCACTCCTGCTGATTTGCTAACACAGTGTAGACCCGACCAAGGCAGGTGTCAAACTTAATGCCGGGGTACCCGTCCACGCTATGGCCAGACTTCCTGCGATTCCAAATATTGTTCGCCCAAACGTAGTATGATGGAACTTGTGGATATAGCAAAGTTCGAGCGAACTCGTCATGAAGGCACAACTTAAAAAAAGGCTGTTAAAGTTGTGTCTTTCGGGTTTTCGGCAATAGCTACCGCAGTTCGTTCAGTGAAGTAAATCCGCTGTCCATTCTCTAAGTGCACTGCCAGCTGTACGATTGCTGGATGCCTCTGATGAATTGGGAAGCCGAAAACGCGCCAAAACACCTCATTGCCGCTGAGGTACCGCCCAGTCAAGTACTGCGAAACTTCGTCTCGGCCGTTGTCCCCCTTAACGCTGAACATGGCGGCATCGCTGCCCTTGTTAACGTACTTACATATGTATTTAATGGAGCGGATGGAATTGCAGAACTCAACGTTTATCTGAGCATTGAATATTTTTCGGAGAAAGGGACAATAGGGGACCACCCAACTTTTGTTAACACGCCCCCCCCAACTTGCATCGTTAGCCCTCCCCTGGCTGGAACCCTTCGCTGGTACAAAGAATATCCATCCCCACTGGTTTGCATCTCATCAACAAATGCCTTAGGAGACCCCTTAGAGCACGGTGCATCTTTTTGACGTAATAAATAAATCTGGCCGCCCATATTGCCTAACCTATGTCATAGCGTCCTGCTTGATTTCATACATGTAACGCGGTCTCCCAGTTTAGGTAGAGGGCAGAATGCACAGCTTCCCTAGGTCGCGGTGATTGACTTCATTTCGTAGGCTGTCGCGTAAGTGTACGTAGGAGTCTGAGCGCAGCTGTTTCTGATGATTCCGTATAAAACAAAACCTCTCCGATTCCATCTTAGCGGCCATGTCAACCGCAGACTGGTGGAAAAGCTCTCTGTATCTATGAAGCAGGTTGAAGTCTCCATCCCTAAACATGAATCGGTATGAGTAGAAGGCCTTTCACGATAAGGCTTTGGAAGGCGTTGTAGGTTGGCCACCCGGAGTATGAAGGGGAATGCCGAAGTGGTAGCCATCGTCACCATAAGTGAAAAGTAAAGGGCACTGCAATGCGTCATATGATCGATGGGTCTCTGAAATCCTGCGAAGAGCGCCGCCTCTTGATTTGAGGACAATATCGCGGATGCGGTCTTGCTTCCCATGTTGCACGCAGGAGCATTGTAGCGGCGTTCGTGTTCATCATGAGGCTGTTTACAATGCTGAAGGAAGGAGCATTTCCAAAGCGAATGTAGCTGTTAACCTTGTGAAGCATGGCCTGAAGTAGTATGACGTCCCTGCGAGGAACTCTTCCCGACGGCGGCAAAATACCAATCCGGGTTTCAGCCTTGTAGGTCTGCAATAAAGTACAGTTGAAGGAATTTAGGAGTAGAGGTCTCCTCAGGCAGCAGAGACCCAATGCGGTGGTATACCTGCCCCTGTACTTTGAAAGTGGGCATCCAACCCTCTTCTCGAACCACCTGAGCCCCAAATGAGGTCATTTGAAAGTTGTTGTATTGCCTAATTGTTTTAAGGAAGTGGTTGGAGTCGGGATGGGAGTCGGCTATTAGTCCCCACAACGAGTTCATGCAGAGGTGGCAGTCGAACTTTGCCGGAGGAGCAGCACAGACCGGCAGGCTCCCCAAACCATTTGCGGGTGTTGCAGAATTGGCAAACACAGGTCATGGACCCTACATTAATGTCGTCACGTGTAGTTAAGTTAATACCGGGGTCGTAATTGAATGCCAAAAAGAGCTACTGGGACACGTAACACCACGGGCGGCCGAAAGTCGCTGAATGTCACCGTCGAGACGTATGCGGCGAGCTTGGGAAGTTTGAGATAAGCGCACAGCGGCAATGTTTGTAGCATCCCTTGAAAATCTATTTGCCCTTGTCTTTGGGCCCTTGGAGTTTCTAGCAACAGAAGTCGCTGTAGCGTTGCGAGCATTGTAGGTTGCCTGCTGCAGCACTGTCTCGGACTCCCTCGACCTAGCTGTTGCAGCAGCGTCCCTGGATTGACGGGCGCGCCTGCGGTCAAGTGTCTCTATTGCCCTTGATTTCACAGTGGCAGCAACGTTTCTTACGTTACGAAGAAGTCTTTGATGATGTATCTCGGAAATCCGAGATGCAGAGGCGGTTGCTGCAGCCTATGCGTTCATTCTCGACCGGTGTGCATTCTTGAGCCTTGATCGCAACGAAGCCCTGTAGGTAGCTTTCCCAGCCAAGCAGGTGGCACTGCCCCCTTGTGACTGCGATGCCTGCGTGAGGAGGCTGCATTGAGCGACCTGTGATAGTCGCATTTTAGTCTGCTCCTGGGACTCGCGGGCCCTTCTTGCCCTCATAGCGGACGCTCTTGCACACCGAAGGCTAAGACGTACCCTCTTTTTTGACGGCATGGGGAAAAGTGATGCTAGTAGGGGTTGATTAGGGTTGCTCAATTGCAGGAGTACAAAGTCTAACTTAGTATCGCAAAGCGTGAGCCAGAATCGGGAAGGCAGGTATTCAAGTAAAACAGCTGAATAAATTGCTTATGGTAGTTGGAAAAATGTAGTTAAACAGACAAACGGGAAACAAAAACGTAAGAAACAACTTGCGGTAGGAGAAATGATCAGTTGAAGGAGCCTATCGTATCAACCGGATGGCGGCGTAACAGGAGCAGAAGTGAGACCTTCGTCCCACAGCTGTGCATAGCAGGTTCAAATGCGAAGTATTACTGGCCAATCGTTTGTGCCAATCAGCGAGTGTCTTAGGGTCTTGAACACCAATCAGTGACCGCGTACTGCACTCAGCCAATGAGATACCGCTATATGAAGCATGGTCACGCGTGTGTGAATAGTAGTTAGCTGTAGAGTCTGTAGTGTAGACGTCTCAGTTGAACATACGTTTGATTGGTTTATTCGCAAATTCCGATGAAGACATGATTGTATCGACTTCCCTCAGGTATTAGTTGGTCACAAAGGAGCTCACAAGGCAAAAGTTTTTAATTGTCACGACTAAAGCCGATAAAGTTCATAAAAATCTCAAGCAAGTTGCGAAAAATTTGCCAAATTCAGGTAAACTCGATTTGAATGGGAAGTCAAAAGGGGTATGATTTCATCGATTTTTATCCGATAATTTAAACCGATACTGAAAACGAAAATCAGCACCTCAATACTATCGGTAAATACTATGCTCAACGGGAATTTTGCTGAAAATTCTTCGCCATTTGCGAAAATTATAGCCAAAAATCAGCGAGACTGGATTTGAATCGGATGTCCGAAAGTGATCGATTATATCGATTTTTTCGAGTAATTGATATCGATAATGTAAATTAATGTCAGCACGTCATAACTGTTGATAAAAACAATAAACGTAATTTTGTTGGAAATTCTTCGCCATTTGCGAAAAATATAGCCAAAAATCAGCTTGACTGGATTTGAATTGGAAGTCAAAAGTGGCATGATGTTATTCATTTTTTCCGATAATTGATACCGATATTGAAGAAAAAGGTTAGCAACTAATAATTGATAAAACTAATTTTCAACATGATTTTCGTGAAAATTTCTTGCAGTTTGCGAAAAACAGAGCCAAAAATCAGCTACATTGGATTAGAATTGGATGTCCGAAAGTGATTTATTTTTCGGATAACTGATATCAATTTTTAAAAACAAAGAACGGCACTTCAAAACTAAGGACATTGCTCAACGTGAGTTTGGTGGATATCACTTGTAATTTGTGAAAATTATCACTGAAAAAATGATGAATCTTTTTTGAATCAATATTCGACCCCCTATCGATTTTATCGATTTTTTTCAAAAATCGGAGGAACATTCGAAAATTCCGAAGACGTCAAGTACGAATGCTGTACATTTCGGATCTGTGTGTGAATTTTCATGCCAATCGGACGAACGGTTTGCTCAGGATGACACACAGACATACATACACACTAACAGAATGCCATTTTCGATACAGATTAAATTCGTTGAGTAACTCTTCGATTATTAAAGAAAAAAAGATTATTTAATTCGCGGCCTTTGCGTATTATGCGCAAACGAGGAGTTATTTCTTGCATAAAAATTTTTTACTCATGACTTATAAAGGATACTACTCTGTAATTAACAGTTAATAGTTAACTTCCTGGAAAAATCTTTTTCTCCAGTGTTAAATTGGAGACAGAAACAACAATATTATCATCATTCAGTTGCAAATTACCAGTGTTCTTTCGTTAATTCTTTAAGATAACTCATTTTATGTGTTCCTTAATTTAATGCCTTTGTTTTGGCTACTGTAATCATTCTTTTATTATTATATAATTATATAACTAAATAACTAAATAAGTGTCAATGAAGAATAAGTTTGTTCTTTTGTAAGAAAAGAAAAAGATCACTGTTTTTAATCAATCAAATAAATAAATAAAATAAAAACAAAGACAAGTTTTGTAGTTCGGCGACAAAAACTATCAAAACTATATAGTTAGTCAGCTCGAAGGATTTTCTTTATCCATAAAGTTGGTGAATCTGTGTTGAGAAAAAACAATAGAATAAATTTAGCCAACAATAAACGCAACAAAACAAAATTACTAAAATAAGCATACGCAAAACATTGCACTTTTAGAACAATGCACTTTATTTTTCCCGTCTATGCCAGGAGACACGTTTTTTTGTTTCAGTACATGTTTTAGAGTGTATAAAATAGGCTGTACTAAATAAAAAGCATTATTTTATGGGTTTTTGCGATTTGTTTCGATAACTGAAAATAGTAAACTAACTGTACATATAATGACAGTTTTACGGAAATTGTTTTCACATAAAGATTGTAAATTTGTAAGAAAACATTAATAATTGGAAGAAGGAAAAATGAATATGATTGGTGAATGCAGATGAGGTGGACACTTGTTTGTACAAGGGGTCTTCAGTGAAATTCGTTCAAACCTTATTCAGGTTTTATGGAGACAACAGTTCAATTTTTGATCTTCAACATGTGGGCAATTATGACTCCCCACAACTTTCAGTCTTAGTAAAGTTTTTTTTCTTTTTGCTATCTCTGAATCCCTATTCTGCCAACCATTTGCATAAAACTTCAGGTAGCTTATTCACTGCTTTTCTCTGTCTCTCTTGGCATGGTTGTGTCAAATCTTCTGTGCCCTCTTTCCTCACTATGTTCCTTAACAATTGTCGCTTTCTCATTCGAAATGTGTCCTTTTTGTTTCCATTTTTCCTAAAAAAAATTCCACGTTACTCATATGTTCAGTATCCTTCTCCAGAATCACATTTTTGTTGCCTCAAGGCTCTTCTCAAGGAGATTGTTCAGCATTCACTGCCATACAGAGAAGACTAATATTCCATAACAGTTTAGTACTTTGTAGTGTTTTTATTTAGCTAATGTTTTATATACTTAAAAACCATTATTTTTTTTTTAGCTTCTAAAACATGTAATATATTTAATTTGTATATAGTGTGTCGTAATGGAGGGGCTTGCGCGTCTCGAGTAATATGTTTAATATAGAGAGGTCAGTCTCTTGTTAGGGTTACCCATGGCGCTACGGATTCAGGGAAGGGATCAGACTAAGCAGAACCGACTACGATGGGCTGGACACCTTGCCCGAATACCATATATCCGCCTATCCAAAGAAATCCTCTTCTCGGAGCTCGTATCTGGCAAGAGACCATATGAAGCCCCATGTCGTCGATTCAAGGATCAGCTCAAAAACACCTTACTGAGGACAGAAATCGATCTGGTCAAATGGGTGACGGAAGCTGCAGAAAGAACCAATTGAAAAAACAACACTCTTCGAAAACACAAGAAAACAAATAGAAGAGGCGAAAAGAGACCAAGGAAAAGTCAGAACTCTTCATACCCTGAACCCTCCTACACTACCACGCGGTGGCTGCGTATGTTTCTTCAGATACAACCTAGGACTCATTTTACACAAAAGAATATAAATGTCTATTAACACCCCAATACTCGGCAACGATTTCTGCCAATGACGAATCTTTGTTTTTAAAGAAAATCTTCTGTTTGTCACTACTTGACCTAGCTTTTGGAAGGCAACTTTCACTATTCCAATGTGTTTTCAGTTTTTGGTGTCACATTTTCCATTCTCTGTTAAAACACTCCCTAGATATGTAAACTGTTGTATTAATTGATTTTAATGATGTGTCCAGTTCGTAGTTCTCATTTTGGACTGTTTTTTTTTATGACAACCATGCATTATGTCTTCCTACAATTGATTTTAGTCCTTTCTTCTTGCTTTCCTTTACTACTCTCTGTAGAAGTTCCTGTAGTTTCCTTTCTGACCTTGCTACCATTACTGTGTCATATGCATATTTTATGTTGTTTAGATTGTGGTCGTCAATAATGAATTTTGGTAGGACTTCTAATTCTCTCGTCTCACTATAAAGGCAGAATAATTCTGGTGAAAAGATACATCCTTGTCTTATGCCACTTTCTCGTTTTGTGTATTGAATTCATTTTCTATCCGTATGCAGACGCTTTGCTCCCATATTATTTGCCCGTGATTATTCAAATATCTTTCCCAAATAAATCGAGCATGCCACACAATTAGCACAGTTTTTTGTGTCGTACTATATCAAACCTTTTCATAATCTTTAAAACATAGGTACACGTCCTTCTGTATTTGTATATCCTTCTGGGCATATGGCATTCTTTGTTCCAGTTTCTTTAACGAAACCGCACTGTTCTCGACCAATTTTCGGTCTGATTCTGCCACCCGCTCTCAATTCATCAGAATTTGGCTGATGAGTTTCATTATGTGGCTCATTAGATTGATTTTTCCATGAAGTTCGCATTGGTTTTCACCTGGACTCTTAGACAGCGCTAGAAAAATGAACCTATATAGGTCTTCCGGTATATCATCACAGCTGTATATATCATTTATTCTTTCTGTAGCTTTGTCAATTCCAAAATCTAAGACTATCAGCATCTCTATTACAATTCCGTCTGGTCATGTTGCTTTGTTCCTGTTCAATTTAGCCAGAGTTGATTTAACTTCAGATTTTAATATTTCTGTTCCTTCCATATTTTTGCGTCGCACAGGTTTTCCTATTTCGCCGTGGAAGAATTCTCTGACGTATTCGTTTCATTTTTTTAAGTATTTTTGTTTCTTAGCGTTCCCTCTCTAATTCATTAAACTGAATATTTTATTTCAAAATATAAGTCCTCACATAAATGCGTCACGGAATTTAATTAGAAAGACGTGGGAAATTTTCAAAACATTTGATTTCCTTCATGGTAAAATCAAGTTACCAAAAAACTCGCACCTTACGCAGGAAACGTTTCAATTAAGTATCTGACTATAAGG